CGCTCGATCCTTCCCGTGAATCTCTCAACTCATCTCTGATTTGGCAGAGATGAGTTAGGAGATTGCCATAATGGTAAGCCACCACCGTCAACTGCCGCATGGTATTACCATCGCGAGTACGTTAGGCGCCAATGGTGACTGGTAGATGGTACCGCCATCGCGAGTGCGCGAGCTCCTATCAGAAATTCGTTGCGCCGCCCTTGGGGGCAAAAGACGGTGAAAGCTAACGTACGAAACCAGAGGGCAGCACAGGATGTGATCGCACCATCCTGCCCGTAAGCAATCTCCCAACTCATCTCTGCTCATCTCTGTCATCAGCTGATGCAGTTCAGTGTGCTAAAAAAATGAAGTGCTACAGTTGGCTGTCGTGAGATGCGCGCAACTGACGGCGCAGTGGTTCGCTGCCAAAAAGGGGAAGACGAGTGATGTGAAAATTGTCAAATATATCGGGTGAAGCGGTGTTCCGTGCGCGGTTTGTGGTGCCGTGACAATGTCGAGCACGCTGGAGAATACAATACTGAATTTGCAGAAACGGCTCAGGGCGGAAAATGAATCGAGGGACAGAGACAGGCAGAGCTCGGAGGTTGGTTCGGAAACGGGCCTGCAGCCGTCATCTTCGGGCCCTGCCTCGAGTCCCGCGGTGCGACGACCCAAACAACGTAAGTTAAAAATAACAAGTACCAACAGCGAATTGTCAGATCATAAAGGAATTCCTTTATTTCATCCCCGTGTCTCTATATATCCGATATACAGGTTGCGCGTACAGGTTATGTTGATCCGCCTGCGGCTCCTCACGGTCTCGCGTAGGTGATTTTTAAAAGTTTCGAAATAACTATCGCAGCGACGTCAGAGGTAGTTTATGAAAAACGTGTAGGTAGTTTAATAATGGCAAAACTGTATTAATCGAGATTCGACGTAATGAAGGGTTTGATTCGAGGATAGCTCTTTGTTGTACATATTTCAAAACAACATTTAGTTCAGAGTTGCATAATGATTAATAATGTACCACTTAGAACTGTTTCGCTGACATTTGAAGTATTTGAGTTGTAGTATCGGTGTGTTTTATTTTCGATTATTTTTATTAGAAGATTCTTAGATTAATGCCAAGGATCTGATGACTGTTTTTAACGAACTAGTTGGAGATGTGGATGCGTCGATACGAACAAGAAGGCAGCTGGTTCTGCCCGTGTCGCAGATGGCACCTCCAAAGATGCACGACAGCGAGTTCGAGTCGAAGCTTCAGGAGATTATGAAAATGAATGGAATCCTGAATATCGATGGCCAGAAGTACCAAACTGACATGAAGGATTTAGAACACTTAGGGGAATTGGGCAATGGAACTTGTGGACACGTCGTTAAGATGAGGCACAAACCTAGTGGGGTTGTTATAGCTGTTAAACAAATGCGACGTTCTGGAAATGCAGAAGAAAATAAGAGGATCATCATGGACTTAGATGTTGTTTTAAAGTCACACGATTGTCCATACATTGTTCGTTGTTTGGGATGTTTTATCACCGAGTCCGATGTTTGGATATGTATGGAATTAATGGCAACGTGTCTGGACAAGCTCTTAAAGAGAAGCAGGCAGGCGATACCCGAAGATTTTTTAGGAAAAGTCACTGTTGCGGTAATACATTATTAAATTTATCAATTAAGTAAATATAAGAGCACGGTGTGAAATATTTGATACAAATTGCATAGAGTCAATATTTTTCATACCGTAAACAATAATATGCCTGTGAAATCAATGTAAATGGCAATGAAATTATGTACTTTGGTTTCACAGACGGTCAAAGCGTTATCATACCTGAAGGAAAAGCATGGGGTGATTCACAGGGATGTGAAACCTAGTAACATTCTTTTGGACGAATTTGGAGGTGTCAAACTTTGCGACTTTGGAATTTCAGGAAGATTGGTTGATAGTAAAGCAAAGACTAGAAGTGCTGGTTGTGCAGCTTATATGGCTGTAAGCATATTTGAAACGATGTGCATGTTCCTACATTTTTTATATTAAACATATAGTTACAAACTTACAAGAAATAATATTATTGACACATCTACGTTGCAGCCTGAAAGGATCGATCCTCCTGATCCGACGAAGCCAGATTATGACATAAGAGCCGATGTGTGGAGTCTGGGCATCACATTAGTGGAATTAGCAACTGGAGTATTTCCATACCGAGATTGCAAGACTGATTTTGAGGTTCCTTCTTTTTTCGTCCACATTAATTCGTTTTTCAATATAATTTCTACTCTAATTAAATAATCTTAAATCCCATCACAGGTACTGAGCAGGGTAGTTCAGGATGACCCTCCCTCTTTGCCCCCTGACGCACCATTTTCAAAGGAATTCAGAAGTTTTGTCAGTTGTTGTCTTACGAAGAACTATAAGCATCGGCCAAAGTACCATAAGCTCATGGAGCACTCGTTCCTTAAAAAATACGAATCGCTGCAGGATGAGGAGACGAATTCATCACTGCCCACTTCTGGATGCCAATGGTTTGGCAGAGTCATGCGACAGCTTGAGCCTAGGTTGGTTACACATACGTCATTGAACATTTAATTGAAGCCAGTTCAAAAAAGTTTACGATCCAAAGAATTCAACCGGTTGTTCCTAATTTTGATGAGCCTACTTTACGCAGAGTGCGTACAGGTTTTGGCCTCGGAGGAATCATTTAATCATTAAATACAGAATTAAACACGGCATGAGATCCCTAACTAATAAGTAATGTTTGGTTTGGTCATAAAGTAACCACATATTGCGTTTCAGCGGTAACGTGGAAATCCTTAGGGAAAAGTATAATATGTCCGTAATCTCTGTTGGCAGGGACCAAGACCCATTTAACGTTTAAATTTTAACGTTAGCTCCAAACATATTTTACTTAGGAGTATAGGTATTCGTAAATATGTCACTCGTAATGTCCTGCGTCAGTTTATGAATTGTTTACGTAGACCTCTCGATTAAACGTTTGCGTGCGTGTTGAATTGTGTTACAGCGTTGAGCTTGAGGGAGGCAGCGCAGCGTAGCATCCCCTCGGCCTCGCCTCTGCCCCGTTCTCCATCTCCCTCAAAAGTGTACCCCGAAATTCCAAAAAACTTAAAAAAAATAGCTCAAAAACTTCCAAAAGTCTGCCCGATTTTCATTTCGAGTTGTTTGGTTTGTGCACGCGCCTGTTACACACCCCACCCTTCAACCCCCACTCATGGTAAGCATTCTTTTTATTTATTTCAATACTCGTTTATTCGCCTTTATGTTACACCAAGGAACCGCAAAAACCGCCGTGGCATGTAAATGCACCTCTACGCACTGCATACGTCTCAGTTTAGTCTCGCCAGCCGAGTTTTTCACTCCAGCTCTAGTCCCGAGGCCTTAGAATTTTACAAGACTTTATTTTTAGTTTAAAAAAAGAAAAACAAAAACGAAGAGAAACCCTCATATCGTCCAGCATGCACAGTAGAGCAGTAGACTTAGAACGCCTTGTCGAGTTAGCTCTAGCCAGAGTTCCGGTAGCCTCGCAGGTACGCCCTTTACTCTGACCTAAGTTGCACGACACTTTGACTAATGCTCTAACTATTCCACTAACAACTCGTAGCCTTAGGTTGTCCACAGGTGCGTCGGATATGATAGGGGACGTCGCTGGAGGTTCCGTGTATGTCGTTACGAGGAGTCGGTCTCGACGTTGGACGCGGCTGCAAAGGTTCCCGTGTAAACGTTTCTTCGTTCAGTTTCAGACTGACCGGCGGGCAGCAGCGAGTCTCGGGACACGTGTCTTTGAAGCAGACGGCTCATCTCAGGGTCCACTCCGAAGTTCCAGCTTTTTTAAGAAGCAACGTCACCAAAGAGCCGCAGAACTCCTTCTTCCCGTTCCATCAGCGGTCGAGCAGCGAGAACGGCTCCAGCTACGTTCCGTACAGCCCTTACGCCCTGAGACGGAAAGACGCGTCCAGGGCGTTCTCGCCGCCCACCATCGCCCACGAGGTCGACGACTCGGAGCCGTGTCTTCAGCGATCGTATTCGCCACATTTAGAACAGAACAAGGACTACTCGACCAACGGTCAGGATAGGCAGGAGGCCAGGTCGTTCTCCCCTTACAGGCAGGACGGTAATTTGGCGGATGTTAGACCTTACTCTCCGTATCGTGGGAGATTCGAGGAACGCGACGGCAGCAGCGACCGATGGCAAAACGTCTCGCGTTCCTTGAGCCCCTTCGCCAGGGACTACTCACCCTGGCGGAGAGAAAACGTCGATCCTCCTGGTGTCGTCCAGCCTGTTGGGGAAAACGCCCGTTACCCTTCTTTTGTACAAAAACGACTCGGTCAGTCGACGGCCGCGCCACAGACGCATCCGCAGGATGTGTACGGCAGTCCCATGATTAGTCGCAAAAGGTAAAGTCATAGATATCTTTCACGGTACTTTTTTTTTTACAGGTAATTACTACTTACATTTGTCTTCGTCTTAACGTTAACCTTGCGTTTTTCGCAGATTTCCCTCGGAACCTCCTCCTCAAGGATCTCACGGGCCCAGCAGTCCGCAGCTGTTGATCTCGAGATTTGCTCATCAACTGAAGCAGGAGCCTCCGCCGTCGACACCACAGGTCCAGGGCTCGTCGAAAGAGTCTGCAAAGAAACGCTTCGCCTCTTACGTGAGGCTCAGGCTCGGCGGAGATCGGGCACCCTCGCCGGAACCGCCGCCTAGGTTGAGCAGGGGAGAATCTCCGCTCGCTATCAGGAGATCGGTCGTCGAGCAATCTTCTCCTTCTTTCCCTAGAAGGTGAGAGTTTACGCTTTCAACGAGTACTCTTGGGGAGAATGCGTATTGCACGTTTATGTTAAATTGTTGGAAAAGTTATTAAGGTTTTTGTGGTTGATGGAGGAACCGGTCATAAGATTTTTGGACAGGTCGTATAGCGATGTAATGAACTTAGTATTCAAGTAAAGACGAAGGTCCGCTTCCTCCTCAGGTACGTGTCACCTTCGCCGCCCCAGCCCCCGCCGAGAAGGCTCTCGGAGAGCAACTCAGTACCTGGAAGTCCTCAGCACGTGCGAACTCGGCTTCGTTACACTCCTGAGCCACAGAGGAGGCCACCGCCCCCATAACCCACCGTCGTCGCCTTATGGAGCCCCCCATTGATGCCGTGCGCGACCAAGGATGCCTCTTTTTTCACCGCAAGCAGCCCGGACGAGCCCTCTTCAGGCCTCTCTTCAGGGTCGTCCTCGGGGTACGCCGGCGACGCGTTCAACGGCACCGTGTTGGATCGGCAGCATAATACTCCGGCACGGGAAACTCGTCTTACGCACTCGAATTTCCTGCGCCTACGCCGCAAAAAGTGCTTGCGCGCGTAGCGTCGACCCCTTTTTTTCGAAAGGGAGGGGGGAAACGAGCGTCGTTTCCTTCCCTTAAGGTGATACGAAAGTGGCGACAAAAAGGTCAATCGTTCCTGAGACTTTCCTCTGCACTGGATGTACCGAAACGTTAAAAACCTTCCAATGTAAATATGGAGGCTACAAGGAAGGTCCTGACATCCATGACGTTTTCATTTTTTTTTTTTAATTTGTTTACAGACATTTTCCAAATTTTGTATAAAAAAGTGAAATTTCATGGGGGTCGGGACCTTGCTTATAGCCTCCAAGTTCACGTGGTAAACTTTTAAACAACTCGGTACATCCGGTTCGGAGGAAAGTCACAAACGATTGACCTTTCAGATGCTACTTTAATGTCACCTTAAGCCGGGTACACATCCGAGCAAGATGCAAGGAGACAGTGTATGCTCCTACGAGGTCTTATTTTTGACTCGTCTTTGAGTTTGCGACTTTCGAAATGCCATGCTACAATATAAAAGCCGCTTGTTCGCCGGTATCACGAGACGAATTAACTGTGTTCTTGAAATTGAGAAGTGCCTGGATGTTCGGCAAAAACTGGAATGGAGAGTTGATATATGTCATTATTGATATCTTTCTTTTTAATTTCATCTCTTAGTCTATTCCGTACTCAGTGCTATATTTTTACTGAGTGGTTAACAAACATGACCACGTTTTGGAAGTGTATTACAATATGTCCATCGAAAGGGCTGCAGGGTAGCATACCTTGTTACCTTTGCATCTTGAATTTGAGCACGATTGGGTACAAAGTGAGACGAAGCGGAGCGAATGTCTTGTTCGTGGCTACTTTTAGTTTTCGAACGAAACCATCCAAGACAATATTCGCCCACACTTGCATGTTCGTTCGGCCTCACCTTGCGTGGTACGCATTCGTACTCAGATGTGTACCATGGACGTGAAGGATGTAACGAGGGAGAAAGAAAGGATCACCTTGTTCACTCGTTTATTCTCTCCGTCGTTACGAGATCGTCATGGGAGTAATCGAGTACTCGGGATTCATGTATACTCGGGTATAGAGGACACGAATGTCTTCCCTTCTTCCACTTGCCGCGCCATCTTCGCAGGGAAGACATTCATGTCCGCCAGGGTACGTCCATGGTTCATGCTCGGAGGTGCAATCAGTTTTACGGGGAGAGGACTCGTCGCGGGCGCCCAGCCGCACGACTATTCCGACTCGGCCACCGAAGCGGCCTCGGCGACCCCTCGCCGAGGGCTCACCTCTATTAACACGTGTATTTAATATAGAAAAATGCAAAACGATGCTCAACTTTTATATCGCTTGTAAGAGACGAGGGAACGGAGGAGCGGCGGGCACCCTCGGCGCGCACCGAGGAGGCCGCTGCCGCCCGTCGAGGAGTCGCGTCGAACCGTCCCCACGAGGCAGCGCGGATTACTTTTCCTACGTGCTAGTCTTCGTCGTGTCTAGAGTACTACGCGTAACGTTTCGTACACCCTCGGCCTGGCCGAGAGCAGAGCGTCTAGTGCAATCTTCTAATCATACTAGGTCCTCTAGTAACTTTCATAGGTATTCTCGCGAGGCGTCTATTAAGCACGGGGATCTACCGAGACGGCAGAAAGAGAGAGAAAGAGAGTGAGAGAGAAAGAAAACGAGCGAATGCGTGAGTGAGCGTTAGTTTTAATTGTGGAACCCTAGTCATGTCGGACGAAGCCGCCGCCTTGAGACTCGCGGTGCCTCCGCGGTGGGATGGATTCGATGAGCTCGCCGAGTCGCAGGAAAAAGCTGCGCCGCGTTTATTGTTGCTATTTATATGCGGACGAGTTATCGGAGGCGATCGCGTTCCCTCTTTTCTCGTCTCGTTTCCTCGTTCTTTGGTTTCCTCTCTTTGTCCCTCGGCCCGCGGCCTTGGAGGTCCTCGGGAGTGGAACTCTCGGCCGCGCCCATGGGAAGAGGAGAGGTCGAATCGCGAGGACCCGCGACCGCCTGCTGCGTCCTCCTCGAGGCACGGGGACTCGAGCGCTACTCCGCGCCGAGCCCCACGCCCCTGTCGGGGCGTCTCGCGGGCCCGGAAACGTTGTAATTATTTTTTTCCATTAATATCCACAACCAGTAACTACGTTCAGTCTATGCTCGTAATCACCTTCGCCGCCACGGCGGGAGGATCTGTTGCAATGTAAATAAACTTATATTTATACGAGTTCCACCGCCTCCCCCTTGTGCCTCCCGCTCCCGCCCCGCCCCTTGCAGCGGCGGGGACGCGGCAACGCGTTCCCGCGCCCATGGCCGCGATAAAAGCCGCTCGCTCGCGTCCCGATTCCGCATTCTCGGGAAATCTCGCTAAAGACGCGAGAGACGCGAGATTCCCCGTGGAGACGGAACCGGATCTCGCACGGATGCTGGGAGTTCGCCTCCATTTTTAGACCACTTTTTATCGGGGCTGAAGGAAACGCGTCAGCAGGCCGTGACGCGTTTCCTTCCCAACATGCGCATTGGTCGGGCCTCGTGTTGTCGCTCGAGGAGGTGCATAACATTACGGCGAAACTCGCTCGCTAACGGCGCGACGCTCGGAAGTACTGGCGCAACGGTAACCCAAAGTTGCGGGGATTTTATCGAGAGCGTCGCGGGGGGTCGAGGATGAGACCTTGCGGCCGATCCGTCGCGAGGAATCTCGAGCGGACGGAGGTTTAATCTTATCGATCTCGAGGAAACGGGGCTCTCCCGAGTGGAGTCGCCGATCGCGCGACGCCGGAGAAGGTCGCGCGCGCGAGGGGAGGGGCGTCGGGTCCGGGGGACTCGTTTCCACGCGAACCACGCGAAGTCGCTCGAGATCGTCTCCTCGAGAGCGAGGCCGGGAGAGAGAGAGGGAGAGGGAGGGAGGCAGAGAGAGGTCGCCGGATTTCGTCCCGGGCGTCCGGGGCCACCGGGAACATAATGATCTTTTTTTTCTTCCTGCTCCTTCGGCCTCATAGGTGCGCGGCGGCCCGCCGCATGGCGATCGCTCGGTGCTTCTTCCCCGGTGAATAAGGTTATCCCCCGAGGCGCGCGACTCCCCGGAGACGGCGTGATCGGAGGCGAGGCGTCGACCGGAGGACATTAGCCGGCGAAAGGAGGATTTATCTTGATAAGGGTTGGCGGGAGGAGCGATTTAAAAATACATTTCTCGGCCGGATCGGCCCGTCCCTGAGCAATCAATATGGCCTCCAGCTCGACGCGGGGCACGCCAGGCTAGAGCGGGTTTTCCCGGGAAAATCGGCGGAAAGAGCGGCCGCCGTGCCGGCCGAATTAGTGGGGTCGCTAGAACGCCGGGCCGAGGTGATTATCGGCCGATATCTCCGGCTCCTGGCCTCGGCGGAGGCTCGCAAATCAATCCCCAGAGTCGCGTCGAGCCGCCTGTCGAGTCGCTGCGGCGGCCACCGTCGTCAGTCGGCGGAAGACGTTGGCGCGACGGAGGGACTGCGAGCTGCGGGGCCCGCTGCTTCGTCTCGGCACGGGGACGCTGCTGCCCCGGAGGGCGCCCTCCATGGACGCCGAGGACACGTGATACCCGCAGTGGCCTTCCTGGACGACGCGGTCTTCGAGGTACGCCATGGAGGACGGAAAACTCGAGGCGGACGCAGTCGAGGGTTGCCAGGAAGAGGGCGAAGACGAAGACATGGCCGCCAATGTCCGAGACAAGCTCACCATCCAGCAGATCCTTGAGAGTATGACCAACGAGTTCAATAGGAACGCGACGACGGGGGATAAGGACGGCGAAAGGGTCGAGACGATAACTGGCAAGGCCGAGCTCGAGGAACGCGAACAGCGAGTCGAGGATCCCGATGCGGCGACCAGGGTCGACGCGAATCCCGAGGAGCAGGTCGATGAGAGGTTACCTAAGGAAAATTCATCGGAGGAACCTGTGGTCGATGCCTCCAGGGAGGACGAAGGGGCACAGAAGCTGGAGGGTGGCAAGAAGGATGGTAATATTCCTCGTATTGTTCTTACGTTTAGGACTGTCGATGAAAATACAGACTTTGGGAGGAAAACCAAAATCTCCAGCTGCTCATCCAACTTGACGCTGGTACCCAATAAGCTTGGCACGAACTGCGATCAGATCAGTGGAGTGTCGGTTAAGATTGAGAACTTAGACGAGAACTCGGATGCTGTCGAGAAGTCCGACTCGGAGGAAGGTAGATGCGAGGAAATGGAGAAGGTGGAGAGCAGGGAGGCTCCGGAGGAGGATAAGTGGACGCCTCCCGAAGAGGTGGCAAACGATCACTGGGAACCTCTGACCGTGGTCGAGCAGCCCACGGAGAAGGTTGAAAATACAGAAACTGTCGTTTCACGGGAGGAGAAGACCGAAGTCGAAGAGCCGGAAGTCAAGGAGACGATCACCAGGAAAAGAAGGGTTGGTCGACCAAGATTGCGGGGATTTAGGTGGGTGTTTTGTTTATTGTGGAATATTTAAGCTTGCTTGGAATGATTTTTTAAATTATAGTGTCAGGGGATGTAAGATATTATTACTAATGATGTGGTAAAATTTGTAGCGATTCCAATGGCGAACCTCCAGGCCCGAAGCGATCGGCAAGGCGGCTTTGTAAGGAATCGTTGAAAAGTACCGTCTTGGAAAGTGCGATGGCTCGGAAGGAAAAGTCAAACTACACCGAAGGACATCTGAAGTTTAAAAAGCAGAGGAAATACAGCAGGCCAGGGCGTCCTAAGAAATTGGTTCCAGGAAAAGAGCAGATTAAACAAGTGCAAATGAAAGTCGCGGACATTCATCACGAAATTGGCCCATATTTCTCAGATGCTAACAATAGTTCGAACGAGTTAAGCTCATCGCTGGATTCTACAAAGACCAACGATCTAATGGATAACAATTCAAATGACGTAGTTGCTGACGAATCCCTGAATTCCGTGGACTTTGACGGAATGCCAAAGCTGTCGCCAATTACCAGGAACGAGGATTCCGTCCAAATGAAGCTTAGCAACAATCTAACGAAGGATGACAGCAGTCCGGTGGAACCAGAGAAACCGTTTTTAAGGCCTGCTGCCGTTCGATCGAAAAGGGATCGCGCTCGAGGAAGGGGCGGGCAAAGCGCAAGGAAGATAGCTAAAGTCGATTCTTTTGAAGGTACGACTTTTTTATACGCAAACAAATATTCACCTCCGTTAGATAAGATTCGATCTATACGTCATTTATAGGTGGTTTACAGACAGTCACGGAGTCAAAAAGGCTTAACGAGTTCCAAGCAGGTTTGTTCCGTCTAACCGATATGGATAAAATATAACATACATTCGTAAGCATTAATTTAGGGCTTCGTGTTCTAATAAAGTAACCGAACGTTCTTTCAGAAGTTCCTGCGAAGAGAACACGTAGAAGCATGGCACCGAGTCCAAGTCCTGCGGAGGGACAAGCTTCCAAGCCCGAATCCAGTGCAATCATCAGTGACGTTAGTACTAGACAGGCGAGATAATCGACCGATGTAACGAACACAGTGCGTCATTCTAACATTCGTAATCTTCAGGCTTACGGGTCGTCATTGATATGCTTGTGCCAGATACGGTCTCAGCTGTACGTTACGATAACTGGTTCCGGAGCGCCGCTTTACTGCACTGCGATAGATTCCATCGACAATCGGTTAGTTGGATGTTGCAACGAGGTGGACAACAACGACGTCGCCATGCGGCGTCCCAGCCAACGTGTTCCTTTTATTATTCTTTGCCGCATGCACAAGGAGAGATTGCTCCGGCACAATTGTTGCCCTTCGTGCGGATTGTTTTGCGCCCAGGGAAGATTTGCTCAGTGCATGAACGGTCATCAGTACCATAGAGAATGCGAGATTTACCCTAACAAGAAAGCCGTGTGTCCGCATTGTGGGGTAGACAGTACACCCTTCGACGTGTTGATCACCATGGCCGGTATGCGTAAACCAGTGTTCATTCCGACGCGCAGAAAATTCTCCAAGTTACCGTCAGCGAAGATGAGTCTGGTCGGAAAGGCTGACAATACGAAATTGGCGGGCCGACCGCGCAGTCCTCTGGTTCGGCCCGAAGTCATAAAGATTCCTGAACCGACCAGTAACTCGGACAGGCCCGAGCGATACACTATCATGAGTCTGTACACGTCCGTAAAAAACGGCGACCTAGAAAAGCTGGTCAATGTTCTAGGTAAGCCTTGAAATTAATTCTTAAAATTCCTCTGTAACTATATTTCACATTATAACGAGGGTGAATTTTTTCAGCATGTGGATACAATGCGAACCACACATTCCGGGATTACGCCCATCGAACTAGCTTGCACATTGCCGCCGACAAAGGACACATGCCCTGCGTGCACGTTCTGGTCCAGGCTGGTGCTCAGGTGGATGTTATGGATAGGAACCAATTGACACCTCTGATGCTGGCTGCCAGTAAAGGGGAAACCGAAGTGGTACGTTATTTAGTCAGGATAGGTGCGGACGTGACGCTGAAGGGCGAAGACGGTATGACCGCGTTACACATGGCTGCTAAATCTGGTCATCTGGACGTCTGCCAGATCATTTTGTCCGAATGTAACATCCCGAAGACGTTAATAGGTAACGTTAAATCCATCGATCCTTCGATAGAGCTACGAACCGCATGGAATGGTCGACCATTTTTGTGATCAACAGATTCGGTGGATGATGGCGGTTGGACCAGTTTGATTTGGGCTTGCGAGTTCTGTCATACGGAAGTGGCTCGATTTTTGTTGGAGAAAAAGTGCGATCCCTTGATAAGGGACGCTGAGCAGAATATTGCGCTTCATTGGAGCGCTTTTAGCGGTAGTGCAGAAATTACGGAGATGCTCCTCAACGAGGGATGCGACGTCAACGCCGTCAACGTTCACGGCGACACGCCGCTGTAAATATTTTAATAGTTCTAGTAGATCATTTGTTCAAGGTCTGATGTGTCCTCTCTTAATCGAGGCATTGATTTCGGTCGTTGCAGTCACATAGCAGCCAGACAGGATCAGTATGCGGTGAGCGTTTTGCTGCTGGCTCGAGGAGCCAAAGTTGGGGAGTTGAACGCAGCTGGGGAAACAGCTGTCAATTGTTGCAGCGCCGACGGCGACACGATGGCGGCGCTTAGATTGAATGCCAGGGTGAACGAACTAGCCGAGCACATGTGGGAAAAGACTATAAAAATCCTGACCAAGTGAGTCCATTGGTGGTGCGACGTCCCTTAAAAGGACGAGAAGGTGGCATCCGAAGGGTCAATCCTTCATGAAACTTTTCTTTGAATTGTGTGTACCGAATCGTTTCAAACTTAACAACGTGAATATGGAGACTATAAGGAAGGTCCTGACCCCCATGAAATTTCACTCCTAATAAAAAATTTTAAAATACCTATAAACAAATTTAAAAATATTGAAATTTCATGGGGGTCACCTTCCTTATAGCCTTGATATTCACGTTGTGAATATCGAAACTATTCGGTACACTCAGTTCGGAGAAAAGTTTCATAAACGAGACCTCTTTGGCGCCACTTTCACATCAACCTGTTATCAACTTAACACTAAATTTACCACCAGCCGGTCAAATGACCGCTTTTAAATGGTATTGGTTATGGGGTTATAAATTGTCGGTATGTTTAGTGTTAAAGTAATTTCTTTAAGCCGTAATTTCTCCTATTTTCAGCGACATTTCTCGTGGTAAGGAGACGAATCCGATTCAGTGCGTGAACGGGCTCGACTCCGAGGATAAGCCGACTGATTTCCTGTATGTCACGGAGAACTGCTTCACCAGTAACATAAATGTCGATCGTACCATTACCTCGCTGCAGTCCTGTCGCTGCGAGGACAACTGCAGCTCCGAGAAATGCCTCTGCGGAAACATCAGTCTGCGGTGCTGGTACGACGAGGAAGGGAAGCTGATACCCGAGTTCAACTACGCGGGTACGAATGAAATGGACGCGGCTTTTGTTAGGATGTATGACGAGCCTCTAAATTAACCCGGCGACTGACACGTGCCAATACTTTGAATTGCAGATCCTCCTATGCTATTCGAGTGTAACCAAGCTTGCGACTGTAATCGCATAACGTGCAATAATCGGGTGGTCCAACACGGCTTAACCCAGAGGTTTCAGTTATTCAGGACGAAGGGCAAGGGCTGGGGTCTCAGGACCCTTCGACACATTCCCAAGGGAACATACGTTTGCGAGTATGTCGGCGAGATCATCTCCGATTCAGAGGCCGATCATCGGGAGGACGATTCGTACCTGTTCGATCTGGACAACCGGGTGAGTAGGACTTTCGCGTTCCAATATATTGATCCCTTCGTCGTCTCATTCCTTTTTGTCCATCCTTCAGGACGGCGAAACGTACTGCATCGATGCCAGACGCTATGGGAACCTCGCTAGGTTTATTAATCATTCCTGTGCACCGAATCTGCTACCTGTACGCGTTTTCGTCGAACACCAGGACCTGCACTTTCCGAGAATAGCCTTTTTCGCCAATCGGGATATCGAGGCCGACGAAGAGCTCGGGTACGTTAATACAATGCCGATTGATATACCTAACGGGTAAGGAGCTGATTAGGAGACTTGTATACGCGCGGAAGTGAAACACTGTTGATGGATATGTGGTGTCTTATGAATAAAAGCTTGTTTCAGTTTTGGTTTTAATTGGCTTTGGATCTACGATCGCGCGGCGACTTAGTTTTCCGTCGACATTGGCCTCTTCGGATTTATTTCATTTCCTACTGGTTTTTAACTTTATTCTGTTGCACCGCGGTCAAGAGGGGGGCATTTTTTTTTCACGATAAACTCGGTGCGCTTTGTAGACGTTAACGTTCTTTGGATGATTACCATTTTCTTGGGCATTCGTTGTTTCAAGGAAGGTAAGATCTGGACGCGGTGCCTTTTAATCGTGCCTGTAATTATAACTAAATTTATCGCTAGCTCTCCGAACGGTTTACAATTGTACTCTTTTTATGGTGTTTATCGATGCTTGTCAACATGAACGAAACATTCTCTGCCTCCAGCTTCGATTACGGGGAAAAGTTCTGGATAATAAAGTGCAAGTCCTTCACGTGTACCTGCGGCGCCGAAAATTGCCGGTATTCTGAGACGACGATTCAAGTTACCCTGGATAATTACCGCAGGAAGATCCAACAGGAGGAAGTGCTAGCCAACCAGATATCTTAGCTTTCAAGTGGACGTAGCTAATTCTTTGAATCGTGCGACTTTTGGCTTTAATTCTGCGCGCCGATTGGAAAGAGCGCGCGGCCATTTCAATTTCCGTGGTTTCGTTTTGACAGTCACGACACCTGGGTCGAACGAGAAATGCAAGTACAAAGGGCGGAGGGATTACGGACTCCGTTCGCGTCGTTTATTAGGCGAATCTCTTTATTTTAATTGGAATTAGCTTTCCCACGCTTTGTCGAACCGCTTGAGGTTTATTCGCAACTCATCCCCGGGGTGTGTTATCCTATTATGCCAACTTTCTCGCGATTGATCTCCTCGAGAATGTGCCGCTCGGTAGAGCCTTTTAAGGAGTAGATTAAGCGTCGTGCATAATAGTGCAATTGTGTTTTATATGCATGGTATATGCGCGGGTGGATATTTGGACGTTTGGTAATGGGATAACGATGGAGTGCTGGTAACGTGGACGTTTACTATGGTGCGAGTGCCCACGGTTTAATTGATTCATCGAGCCATTTAACGCGATCTTGTTAAACATGTTTTTGATTATTTAGATTGTTAGTTACTGTCCGTCAAGACTCGCTGCAACATGCCCATGCGTCGTCTCTTATGTGCAGGCTAAGATCACACCTTTTTGTACAAATGACAAATCTTTTGTATAATAAAAAAAAATTGTAGTTCTTTTTATAAACCCTGGAAGCGTGTCATTAGACCTTGAGGCGATCCGGGGCTGACAATAGTATTAACGATACGCGAATACCATTATGTATCTATTTTACGTATTTGTTACTGTATTCTATCCGTAGGTAACAATATTCTGCAAACGAGAGGTAATTTCAGAGTTTTAAAAACACCGACCATGTTAATTTTCGTCAGGAGAAAACTGAGTTTTAATTGACATTGATATATTTATCTCGAATGTAAGACCTACCGAATTATCATTAATTACCGATAATTACCATTCTCATTATTCGGTACTTGACCAAGTTTTTATAGTGTTATGAAAGGGGTCATTCTATATATCAAAACGTCAAAATATTTATAAAACTTTTCTCCAAACTAGGTGCAGGGAATCATTCGAAATTTCAGCACGTGATCATGGAGACCGAGGCAGAACGTCATGCTCTTGAGATTTCATAAAAAAGAAAAATTCTTGTTTGAAAAATGAAATTTCACGGGCACCGCATTCACGTGCTGAAGTTTCAAATGATTCGGTGCACCCTATTTCGAGAAAGGTTTCACAAATATTTTCACGTTTTCATTTATATCTAGAATGACCATTTCGTAACACCTTAACGAATGGGACGTTTTCTTTTTCGTTTCCTATTTATCACAGTCTGTATTAACAGGATAAGGTAAACTGTGCATGGATCGTAATAAGGTTTCTCGCCTCATTGTAATGCACGCTCGGAATGCCGGGGGCGAGGTGGCGCAATTAAAACGTAAACTACGAGCTTCTCGAAGACAAAGCGGCAGCTTCTTTAGCGGTCCTCCAGGAGTCGAGGAAGAGAGGTTCGGGTAATTGTCAGCGTCCTTGAAACCCAGGAACCGTTTTTGATAATTTGCCTTTTGTGCCGGAAACTTTCACCCTGAGTCTCGCCAGGAAGCACCTTCGACGAAAGAGGGGAAGGTAACTTTATTAATTAGGTTAATATTTGCTTACTTCGGAATTTATTCCGGAGGATCCGAGCAGATCCTCGACCCGACGACGGAGGAGATTAACTCTTTAATGGTATTCTCGTACTTAAATGAAGGCGGCATTTTTCACTTCCGTGAGTTCGTCACCAGTGGGACTGGAACAATAGGAATATTTTAAAGTTTACCGTACCGAGAACTGTAAGTACTCCTAATTAAACGGGCAACGTTGATACCGTTGGGGATGAAACAAACTTAAACTGGTAGTTTCGAGAAACTCTAATTAAGGGCATACTGTAATTTATACTTAAGTGGAGGATGTTTCATTTTTTAATATTCGGGCTGTTCCTTTTAATCCGGTTTTGCTACATTGGATATTTTGTTCGATCAAATGTAGGCTAATGTAACCCCGTTTATTTTTTAAGATCATTTCAAGAGTATAGAGTATTGTTAAGAGCGTTTCACTTTTCCGACGCCATGTCTATCGCCAAGTGGAGTATGTGCTCCTTTTGAGAAGTATTCCTCGCATCTTTTAATTTGTCAATTTATTTTATCCAGGTTTTAAAGTAAAGGACCACTTTGCATCTCATTCCGAGGCAATTGCTCGGCATTTTGCATTTATCTTCTTACGTTACCGACAAAAAGATCGTATAGAGGTTACAGACAAGAATGTATACATCCTTAAGTGGAAAATACGCTGTTTGTTTTCTTCATTCTTGCCGCAAAAAACGTGAAATCAATCCCACTTTTCGCAACAGCTGCTCATAGATTTCTCAAAATCGAAGTGTTTTGCTACATGCATTAACGTGACAGTGTAGCCGAAGACGTTACGTAATGTTGCCAAACAATTGAACCAAAGCTTCCGGGTCCCGATTCTCGAATTTCGGGCAGACTTTTGACATGAATATGTCACAGGGCTGGGGGTCGGTAATAAATTTCTGTCATATTGTTTTGTAACGCATTCTTTGTCACTGTTTATATTTTCCGGGGTCGGGGGTCGAATTTGGATTCCGCTGGGGGCGATTGGACAGTCAGCTGTTATGTCTCGGACAGAATCTTCCCATAAGAACCTATAGAGTCAGCAGAACTAGCAAGAAGCAGAGATGAGCAGGATCTCTGCAAGAAGTCTATCTGATGATAAGTAAAGAGTGTCCCTAAATTCAAGATTTGAATTTTATGCCAATTGTGCGGTAAAGTGTTGCTAACGAAAAAAAAAAAAGATAGCGGGACAGCTGACAGTTCAGGTTTATTAAAATTGCAGCGTTACACGAAAGAACACGCGTACAGCAATTTAATTACATAAACAATTTAATTACTGCATGAGTCATTTCCTGGTCGGGTAATTTCCCGTTTTGATGATCAGAATTTGCCGCCCAGACCATGCGATTTAACGCCGTTGGAATTTTTAATGTCATTTCATGCATTTTTATGTGGTTTATGCCAACAAGCCCACGACCACCCACGCCTTGAAGGAGGAAGTTGAGCACTGTATCAACGAAATTCAGCCACATTTATGTGAAATGGTCATGGAGAATTTCAACAAATGAGTGCATATGTATCAGCAAAGCCGTGGAGGGAATTTATCCGATGTACTATTCCATACATAACCCTATGCTGTATGCTTTATGAATCAATAAAAAATTTACAATTTTTAATAACACACGTGTGTTTTCTATCGAAATTACTTCCTGCGTGAATTTTGGGACACGCTTTATATACCATGAGAAATTTTCCATACATAACCCTAGGCTGTATACTTTATGAATCAATAAAAAATTTACAATTTTTAATAACACACGTGTGTTTTCTATCGATATTACTTCCTGTGTGAATTTTGGGACACGCTTTATATACCATGAGAAATTTTCCATACATAACCCTATGCTGTATACTTTATGAATCAATAACAAATTTTCAATTTTTAATAACAAACCTGTGTTTTCTATCGAAATTACTACCTGTGTGAATTTTGGGACACCCTTTATATGATAGGACTTCTATGGGAACTGCTTGCGTTGCAGCAAAGAATTCAGAAGTCCTATAGAAGCCCAGATCTTATGTTAGCGCTTGATGCTCAAAAATTTGGCCAAGAAACCAGAAATGGGGGTAAAAGAAAGATCGCATGTGTTAGCCATCGATATCTCACATACGGGAGGAAGAGAGACGCATATAGAAACGCGAGTATTGGGTATCAGATAAAGAAAGAATGCAATTCGCTATATATCGCCATAATATGAAGAGAGATGGAGAGATGCTTAACAGCGCCGCCATCCGTTGGCTAACGTACTATTTATCCAGCATCGAACGTCCGTATCTTTATGGGCTTCTATGGAGACTTCTGAATTCTTTGGTTGCAGCGATGCAATGAGAGATGGAGAACGCACCTCCGATGTAGGGATAAGAAGATGCAAGTGAATAAGTCTAATGTCTGTAGCTGAATGCGATTTGGTCTTCTCCAATTTAATAAACCTAAGTTGTGCTTTAAGAAGTGAGAAATCATTTTTCAACCTTCCCAACGGCATAACACAGCGACGCGTATTGTGTTGTTCCTAAGTGTATAGCGATAATTAAAAATTCGGGCTCGCCTTCGAAATCTGCAGTCGAGCGGCAACGAGGACGTAATCCTAAAAGCGATCAAAAGGAACGGGAACGATTTAATCAGTTTCTTATTAATATTCCATTTTCGCCGAGCACGTCAGATAAAGAAAAATACGAAGTTTTTCTACATATGAAAGCGAAAATTACGGATTAAAGGGAAGAGAAGAAACTTAAATCAGCTGAGCGTATTAGAACATTTTGTTCGAAGCAAAAGACGCCATAGGACATATTCATGATCCCATGTCTTTCCCACGAGGGAAAGAATTTTTTCGCATGCGAACGGATTTGCATAAAAATTTTGCATCGTTGGGAAGTCAAAATTGCGTAATTGGTCGACATTTGAAAGTCTTATAGGAAATTTTCTGTTTCACGTGTGAAAGATGATTGTATGAGTTCCAGAATAGGGTCCCTAGTAACGTATCAAATCTACAAAGAATTTCGACAAAGTCGTTTGATCGTGGACACAGGTCTTCAGGTACGGTGGAAGCGTCGGTGAGGAGGGAAGCGGTGATTCGCTCGTCAGGCGAATGGAGTCGCCGGTCGACTCGGACGAGGTTCAGTCGACTCGAGCGCTCGCACCGGCGCGGAGCCTCTCGGCAGTGTTGCCGAGCGCTCGGCCGCCGTGCCGCTGGTCCCGGGCGCCGATTGGCCGGCCGGCGATCCTGCGCGCGCAGTCGCCCGAGCCGATTGGCTGGGCGCTTGCGGCGTTCGAAATTCAATTGAAAGCGCCAGTTAGTGTAGCGACCGTGCGGCGCTTGCAGGCGCTATGCGTAGCTGCGTAGCCTCGTAGTTTTCGGCAAGTGCGGCGGAGCCTTTTTCTCCGGAATATGCGTCCGCGCGGCCCGGGGAGGTGCGGCAGTGCGTGGAAAGTGAGCCAAGACCAGACAAGGAGTTAGGATGGCGAGCTGACGGATATTTTACGCCTACCTCTAACGACGACGGCGAAGCTGAGGCTTGCAGAGGAACTGGAAGGTACGGTCAAGCTTTTACGTCGCCGAGGAATTTTCGCTTAAAACCCCTCGCGGTGGGTTTCCACTTAGACAACCCTGTCCTGGTCCTAGGTAAACGTCCGGTTTAAATATTATTTCGAGTACTCTATATTTTTCATACAAACATTTTCAACGATTGAGGGCACTGGAGGGTAGGAACGAGCTTTTCCGGCGTTCCTCCAAGTCACTCGGAAATTCATTTTACCTCTCAGGTTGATTGGATACTTTCGTTTAAGGGACTCTGACCTGGTGCTAGGTAAACGGTAATTATACCCCGGTTTAAGTACCATTTCGAGTATCTCACATTTTTTGAAATATTTTTATCGTTCATAATTTTTTCATCCGACCAAACGGCGACCTCGTTCGAGTAACCTGTTGATGGGACACCACGGAGGCACGAAC